AACTATCCCAGTCATGGGATAGGGCTTAATTTGTCTACAATCTCTAAAGTGTGGAGCTTAGAATTGAACACAATACCTTAGAGGTTCCCAAACTTGGCAGAGCATTGGAATCACCTGGCTATTGAGTGAAACTTCAGATCCTGGGTCCTCCCCTCTCTGACTTCTGATTGGTTAGGTTGCAAATGGAGCCCACAAATCCGTATTGTCACCTGATATCCCAGTGATGCCAATGATTTGGGAAAGTGGGCCTTATTTCCAGCAGGGAGTATAGTGGTATTATTACTGCCCTTTGTCTGGGCCTTTTCCTACTATTAGGTCAGATCAAATTTGTGGCAAACTAAAATGCTGCTCAGCTAGACTGTTTCAGCACAGTACTCATGTACATTAGTTATTTGGATCTAACACAGTCTACCTCAAGCTTGCATTATAACCGCCATCACGCATGCTTGATGCTGATCCTGTGAGAGACTGCATTCATCACTCCCAATCAACTGCAGAGGTTTCTTCATTCATGAATCATTATTAGTTCCCCATTTCCCCTGTCATAACCCTTAAAAAAAAACAAAAAGCACCTTGCTGCCATCGAGTCAATGCCGACTCACAGCAACCCCCTGTGGGTTTCCGAGCTTGTCACTGTTCTTGGGAGTAGAAAGCCCCATCTTCCTCCCGGGTCACAACCCTAAGGAACTATTCATCTAGTTTCTGTCTCTATAGATTTACTCTAGCGTGAGTTTCAAAGAAAATCATTTAAGTGGGGGGGAAAAACCCAGCAACTATAACATAATAAAACACAGACGAACCTGAATGCAAAAAAGAGAAGAATGTAATAAAAATTAGAACAAGCTGAAAATGTGTGAGAAGGAAAAACAAGCAGTAAGATGAGAGATTTTATCCTAGCTCTATCTGATACACAGACTCTGTCTGGGGGCAAGACTATTGGTATCCTCGGTCAAGGGACCCAGTGAATTCAAGGGGGCTCTGCAAATGGATTGGGGGCTTTCACTGTCATCCATAGCCTCTGCACACTGGGTGCTCAGAATCTAGGCTCTGATACAGTCTCCCCTCTTAGATTTGTATTGTTAAGTCTGTGCATATCTGGCTGATAGCTCACCTAGATATCTGTAAATCTGGATTCTTGGTGTCATCTATAAATAACTATCTATAAATAGCAAATTCTGAAATCTTCATTCAAATCATTGATAATAAAGTCCTTTCTGATATAAAAGAACCCTAGGAGGTAATTAATCAAAGAGCAATTTTGAATAAGGTTGTTTATCTAGCTGTAACGATATATAATAGAACTACCTTGAGGCTAATGGAATATTATGTCAGGCATTCTATTAATATATTCACTTTATATTCTTTCAAATAATCAATTGCATGAGCTTAACACATGGCTAATTTAAGGTCAATATATGGAAAATGCTCACAAGTCATTTTGGGGTTATCAGCTGGTAGCTTCATAAATCTAGTCTTCTTTTAAAATAAAAATGCTTAAGCACACTTTAAAAGTCAACTTATTTGACAACATTTAAAAGAGCAGATTTGCGGCCAACCGTATATGCATTTCACTCTTACTAATGGGTTGAAGCTCATCTTCCTGAGTGATGTAAATGCTCTCCTGACTGGGCAGCCAGGCTTTAATCGGGTATACCTTACTTGAAAATTAAGGAGTCCTGATAGCATAGTGGTTACAAGTTCAGCTGTGACCCGCAAGGTCAGCAATTCAAAACCAGCAGCCAGTCCAAAGGAGGAAGACGAGGCTTTCTACTCCCATAAGCAGTGACAGTCTTGGAAACTCACAGGGCAGTTCTACCTTGTCCTACAAGGCTGCTCTGGGTCAGCATTGACTCAATGGCAGTGAGGTTTTTTGAGGAATTTGAAAATTGATCCAAAGTTACTCACAAATTATTAAGGGTAGCTCAGATTGTTTTCAAATTCTAATAGGATCCTGGAATATAATTCCAGGTTCTGAATGGCCATAAAGCAACAATGTGTCACATGTTTTAATTTGTTACTCTCCACTTGGTCCTTTTAACCATCTCTGCACTAAAACGGAAGCACAGTAAGTGGTGTTCTGGAGAGCGATGCAGCAGATTCCAACCCCGCTTCGCTCAGCCTGGCTGGGAGACCTGGGAAACCTTATTCATTCTCTATGGGCCTCGATCATGTTTATAAATGCAAATCAGGGTATCCGCCTACCTGAGAGAGTTCTCATAAAGATTACATGAGCTAATATGTGTCTCGGATAAATGCTGAGCTGCTCACCACAGAGCTGGCGATTCACACCTACCAGGGCCTGCTCCACAGGAGAAAGCGGAGGCCACCCGCTCCTGAGATGACTCACCGCCTGAGACTCCCTGCAGAGGAGCTATGAACCGGAATGGACGCCGTGGCAGTGGGTTTGGGTGGTGGCCACACAGTAGGCATTTAACCTTGAAGTGTTTGAATCATTATTCTTAATCATCTAATATTAGCCTCTCCCCTACCCACGCTCTGCACTCATTCTGAAAACAAAAGTACAACACAATGGTTAGGGCAGGGGCCTTGGAGTCAGACAGAGGCCTGGCTCTACCACTTGCCAGCAATAGGACCTTGGAAAATGCTTTAGTTTTAATGAGCCTCAGTTTCATCATCTATAACACAGAGATTAAAAACATCTCTATTTCACGGGCCGGTGGTGCGATTGAAGTAAAAATGAATGGCAAGCACGTTGCCTAGTATCTGGCACGTGGTACAGGTCCCGCGCATGCTGACAGGCACTCTCTGACGGTCGGTCCCCTTCTCCTTCCGGCAGTCTGACTGCACGCATCTTTGCTTTTGTCCTGTGCTTTTCGGAGAGATGTTTTCTCAACATCCCTCCACCTTTCCTATCTCCTTGCTTGCGGTCATTATGTCAAAACGTGAGGATTTCCGGTTCTTTGTGAACACACTGCAGGAGGAGAGGGATGGCTGGCAGCCATTAGACTGCTTATAACTTTCCCTGACATGACTCCTTTCCAAAATACAGAATTCATGCTCAATGTATTCTTTATCATCATTACAATCTTTAAAACACTTTTTCTTTTCAGAATTGATCCTTTCTACTTTGCTAGTTATTGGTAAAGGGGGAGAAAAAATCAACCAGCAAAAGAATGACTCTCACCATTGTGTCCTTTACCTCCTATGATACTAAATCATGAATGAGTCCAACAGAACTTCCATCAGACACTCCTTGTAACAGAATGAGAGTCCCACCAGGTATCCAGACGGTGAGAGCACATTCCTGCGTCCCCTTCTCGGGTCGGTGTTGACCTCACACTATGCAAGCACCATCTACATCCTGTCAGCGGGCTTCTTGAGTTAGATCCCTATCCAAGTATTACTCTTGCTCCTCTGTCATTTCCAAATGACTCCAGAAGTTCTCTATGGTGTTACACACACACACACACACACACACACACACACACACACACACACACACACAGCCTTCCTTGTTGGATCTTTCTTTTCCACAAAGTACATCTTGCCGTCGCTAAAGCTCTGCCCTATGACACCCTCTCTTGGTGACAGGTGCCCTCACGCTAAGAACATGAGGACACCTGTCTCTGGATCTGTACTCGGAGTATACAAATATTTGTAGAAACAGTAATGTTTCTCAAGTTTTGTTCCCAAATGCTATCTTTCTTTCTTTTTTTTTTTTTTTTGCATTCTATAAAATGAAAAGATATACTATTGGAGCTGTTCTTAATATCTTGACCCAAAAGCTTGACCTAAGTTTTCTTTTTTTTTAAACATTTTATTAGGGGCTCATACAACTGTTATCCCAATCCATACACACATCAACTGTGCAAAGCGCATCTGCACATTGTTTCTCAAAACATTTTCTCTCCAACCAAATGCTATCTTTCTGTTATGTGTTTTCCTCCTAAGTTATTTTTTATTATATTGTCTGGGCTTATTTCTCCTCTTCTATTGAAACATTCAATGAGCCTCTCTCCAAACAGAGTACCAAAAGTGACTCTGCCAGAAGCCCAGGAAGGAGACATGAACGAGCACAGTTCAGGAAACGAAATCACCCTTTGGTTCCATCCAACTCTTACTTGCCACGGTTACCCTTGACTTCCAAAGGCATCGGCACCACAGAGGAGCTGTGCGGCTCTTCAGAGCTTCAAAACCCTGGATTTCTTTGAAATATTTCACTTAATGTACACTAGGAAAAAAATATTTTAACTGAACTTTTAAGATCACAAGGATCTTGCGAATTTTTCTTACCATTGCCTCGTGCCTGGTACACAGGAGATCAGGAGTCACAAACCATAGTCCATGGACCAAACCCTGCCTGCAGCCTATTTATACATGGCCAAGAAGCTGAGCAGTGTTTACATGCTAAAAGGGCTGTACCACACGGCCGTTACTTAAAAAAGGTTGCTGACTCCTGCATCAGACACTCAAGGAAGGAAGCTCTGAGGGTCGGCAGGCAGAAGCTGATGGGCGGTCAAGATCATTGGAAAGGACCGAGAAAGAAAAGCATCTCTGGCCCACGTCAGACAACCTTCCAGGCTCCCACTGGGACTGAGCTCCAACGTCAACTGAAGGTGTTTCGTCGGCCTGTTTTAGAGGGCCCATTTTTTTGTACCTGACCTACTCTATTGTTCAAGCACAGCTGTCCCTGGAGGGCTACATCTGACGCTCAGCAGCATCCGCCTCTCCTCTCACTACCTGCTGGCCAGCTATCAGCAAGGTGTCAGCGACGGTCCCAGGCCTGTCCTAGTATATAAACCCCTTCCCTAAGGAAGCGCCCACAGCACTTACTCAGCCCTTCCCATGGGACGGAACGCTTGTGCCTCAAAAATGTGCCCGCTCAGACTGCTCCACGTGCTTGGGGCTAGAAGGCTGCTTCCTGAAGCACAGGCGTGGCCCACACAGACACCACACATAACACCGAGTGAGACGGCAGAGCTGTCCCAGCATGAGCCTGGGTCGTAGCAGAGTTGCCAGCCGCACAGGCAGAGCTGTACCTGAAAATGCTGCTCCATGACTTGGATTTTGCCCTGCTCGGGGCACCTCCTCAGGGCCCGGTCTGCGTAGTGGAAGAGGATGGCGACCATCTGCAGGGAACACAGGCTGGTACAGGGATGAAGGCCTCTCTCAAAGCTTTTCAATAGTTACGATTTAACAGTGGGGGTCACCCAGGTCATACAAAATCAAGCTTTGTTATTTTATCACAAATATAATTTAAAGATGTGTGGCTTTTTCTTTTTCTCTTAACCACAGTCTAGTTTCTTTCAGCCACGGGACTAGTATTCATTTGCTAGTCTCTCCAAAGATACACTCCCAGGTCCTAGACTATGGTCCATATAGTAACTATATAGCTTAAGAAATGAAAAAATTAAAGATAAGATCTTCAATGATCCTTTGATACCCCGAGCAGGTAAATATTTGCATTTTTTTTAAGTTGGTGGAAAAGTTCCATTATCTTTTTGGACTTTTCCCAGAAGTTTTATTGGCACATAATGCACACATCATATAATTCAACAGCTCAGTCAGATCTAGAAGCTGGACAATCAGCACCACAATCAATTTTAGTCCATTACCTTTTAAAGCCCCTTTACCATGAACCTTCTGAAGTTCCCTCATATGTTATTACTCATAATTAGTTTCTAAAAACTAACAAATTTCAACTTTTCATGGGATATAATTAATTCAAAAATTCTCCAGATTCCTGGATTTTCCTCCTTTCTGCTGCCTGTCATTTGGCTGGTTCATTACTTTATTTTAAAATAGTGAATGAGGAAAAGAAGAGATGAAAAGGAACTATAAAAGCATTCAAGACAACATCAGAGAATATAACCTGGTGTGATAGTTCAAAGGAGCCCTGGTGGACTGCTAACTTCAAGATCAGCAGTTCGAAACTTCCAACCACTCCAAGGGACAAAGATGAGGCTTTCTACCCCTGTATAAAGTTAGTCTCAGAAACCCACAGGGGCAGTTCTAGCCTGCTGCCCTAAATGGTTGCTATGAGTCAGATCTGACTCGACTGTTGTGAGTTTGTGGGTTTTGGGTGATAGATCTGATGTCAACTTGGTAAAACTGTGGAAGGGGATGCGTGCAGTCCAATCCCTCAATCAGGACTCAGGCTAATGCTACGACGTCCCCCTGAGAGAGTGGGCTTTCTATTAGAGATGCTGTGGAGACCTCTCTTTCTCTTGCCCCATGTGGCCTGCTGACCCTGGAAGCTGCAGCATCCTGCCATGTCCCTGTGGGCCTTGGATCCACACAACTTGACACACCGACTTTGCCGTCCTGCTTCATTGGCCAGCAGCTTTGTGAGTCTGGAGGGAGACTTGAGTTGAACCAGCTGGGCTGTTTCACTGATAGAAACATATTTCTTGAGAGAAAGCTCTTTCGTATCCATATAAGAGTGTCACTGGTTCTGTTTCTCTAGACAACCAGCCTAACACGTCTGACGTCTTTACAGCCACCCTCGAAGGCTGTAGCCCTTTATCTCACGTGCTCAAAGATTAACAAATGCCAAAGGCAAATACGTACTTCACTCTAGAAAAGATGACTGAAAACTCACCCGATCTGCAGCCACAGCCTTTCGCTTACTGGCATCTCCTGACAATCCTGCAGAGAAGGAAAATCCAGCACAAAACCGAAGTTAGCCTACATCTTTAGGAGTTCAAGTATGCTTGGGCCTTCTAGTCACAGTCTGTGCTAACCACAGGGATAATCATTATAACCACTGGCACTATGGCTAGCCACTGAGCTCTTAACCACCTTCACGGTTGGCAGGTCAAACACACCAGTTGCTCTGAGGGAGAAAGAGGAGATTTGCGGCTCCCATAATGACTTGCAACCATCTCAAAAGCTCTGTCCTACAGGGTTGTCATGAGTCAGACTTGACTTGATAGTATTGGGCCTCGGCTGAATTTTTTATTTTAGGTATCAAAATGTTTGCTATGTGCCATAATGCAAACTCCCTTCCAGTTACACGGTGGACCAGAAAGATTATCTATATACTTTTCTTATATTCTAATTGTTTTCCTTGTAAAATCAGGGTGACATCTGAAACTCAATGAACTCCACTGAAAGTTTGCACAGGCTGTTTATAAAATAATTGAGCATAAACGTGTTCCAATATTTGAAAATAAGTGTTCTCTGAAGGATGAGCAGTATTCATTCTCTCTGCTCCACCCAGAGACTCTGTGAACTTACCCACGACTGCTTTTGCCTTTCCTTCATGAAAAGACCAGGCCAGAGCCAAGGCTTCCGTGAGACAGTCCTGTTTCAGCAGGTGATCCACTCTCTAAAACACACAAGTAAGAAAAGCCAGACTCCTTTATCCGATCAGGATTCTTATGCTACCTAGCACTTTCCTGGATGCTGTTGTTTTGTGGCTAAAATCAGTCTAACAAACATAAGAATAACTTATTTCACAGAAAAAACAATTCTTAAAACACTGTACAGAGGGCTAGTATAGCGTTTAAGAATGTTAAAGGGGAACACCAAGCCGTTTTCCGCTTGCTGTTTATCACATCTCCTCAGTCCTCACTCCTTACCATGAATCTAAGATGCAGGCAAATCATGCCAACTGAGCGGCATTTCAAAGGCTCCCTTTAACCAGTGTGGCCACTGTGAAGGGGTTCTGGTCAACAACCAAGGGGCGTGAGACGGCCGGATGTCGCCTTGGCAAGCACGGGCAGGCCCTCCACTCTTCCTTGGAGTGTGGATGGCCACAGCTGGACCTCCAGCAGCTCTACTGAACATCGAAATTAATAACCCACCCCCATGAGAGTGGAACCGGCGAGAAGGCTAAACAAGCCAGAGACCACCTACTTCCAGGTTGCTTTACATGACAGAAGACCCCTATTGAAGGCGCTGCTCATTTGAATTTTCTGATATATGCAGTCAAACCTAATTTATACAGGCAGTTGTATCAAATCAAGCACTTAACAGCTTGAATGGTTTTGATGTGCGTTTCTAAAATGAAGCGGCAAAAATTCACATAATCTTTCTTATCTTTTCTTGCAAAGTCAAAGCAGGAATTTTAAGATAGCCTAACCCAGCAGCTCTGAACGTACAGTTACTGGGGACTCACCTCCCGCCAGCTCCTCAGCATCATCACATACACAGACTGGAAAACAAGAAAGCAAGAGTTTGTCTTTAGCGGACTTGCTTGGGAAGACTCACTTGTCCCATCCCATGCCTTATCTTTACAGTGGTTAGGTAAAAACATTTCACGCCAACAGAAGTACATCTTAAAATCCTATAAATGGTCTCCCAGGGCCGCATAAAAGAGTAAATCAAAGAAACATTTAAAGACTAGCAAAATTCCACAGTTCAAGAAGGAATTCATTTAACAGATCAAAAACAAAGAAAACCCAAATTCACCTCCCAGGAATGACCCAGTACTATTTTAGTTCAATATTAATAATGAAGAAATATTTCTCCTTTAGTATATTTTTTAAAAAGACGTGAACAAATGCACGTACATAAAGTTGCTATTCCAGCATTTGACTCCTCTAAGTCAAGTCCCTTGATGCAGCTGACAGTTGGCTAAGCTGATCTAAGGTCACCTGTGTGGTCCACACAGTTCAGTGCCTGGTTACGAACAAAAGGCTGGGGGGTTGCTTCCAGCAGAAAGCCCTGGCGATCGCTTCCAAGAGGTCACAGTCACGGAGAGCCGCAGGAGGGCACTTCTGTTCTGGCACACATGGAAGTCACCAGGAGTTGGAATCGACTCTACAGCAAGGGCTTGTGTTTGAGTTTTTTTGTTTTTTTTTAATTAAATCATTTTATTGGGGGCTCATACAACTCTTATCACAATCCCTCCATCCATCCCTTGTGTCAAGCACATTTGTACATTTGTTGCCATCGTCATTCTCAAAACATTTGCTTTCTACTTGAGCCTTTGGTATCAGCTCCTCGTGTTTGAGTTTTTTAAGCTGATCTAAGCTGGAGGTCATCTTGGTTACATGACAGCCACCCATGATGTGTCTCCCTGATCATGAAAATGTCAATCTGAAGGAAGATTGTGACATCATATCCCCGAATCAAGGAAATAAGACCTTCTGTTAGCCAGAACCCAAGCAGAGTTAAAATATGTCTAATCGTTTGGGAAGGAAATCTATTAGATAAAACTCTTTTTTTTAATTTTATTATTTTTTTTTTTAGATAAAACTCTTACCAACTTAACTAACCCCTGAAGAGCCCTGGTGAGGCTGAAGTTCAAGCCCTTATCAGAGACCGGGAAGAAGTCTGCACTCTTGAGGAGTTACAACCTTGGAAACCCTGTGGAGCAATTCTACACGGTCTTTTGGGGGGTAGAGGGGGAGGTGGATAAGAGACAAAATCCACCCCAAGGCCAAGTTCACAATAGACAGCCTCTTTACCAGCATCCCTCCTTCAGCCCCAATTACACCCCCACCCCCAACACACAAACAAATACTGAGTAACACAGGGAAGGCTTACTTTTGTTCCCAAATAAAAGATCTGACCACCATAGCTACTGATGGATTGGTAACAAGCCTTCTCTCCAACCAAAGCCTGTAAAAAGTAAACAATAAAGTGAAAATTACATGCATTAGAAGTCTCATTAAGTTTTAATGAATGTCAACTACAGAGACAACATGTAGGTCAGTACCGTTTCATCCCATAAATGAGTGGAGAAAATATGTCAATCAAGTGCCAGCCTGGACGTGGAAGTGGCAGAAAAGACAAAGTGTAAAAAGGAGTTCTTTGGTTACATATGGCCTTTTCAGCTTCCAGAATCTGAGGAAAGGGAGACGCGTGCCAACTTTTAAATCAAAAGGAAAACTGTTGCAACCTGCCCATTACTGGATGACAGGCAGTCACTGCTTCTGGCAAAGAAAAGGGCCAGCTGGAAATGGCGCTTCTACGCTCTTTCCACACATCACACAAGAGCACAGAGGAAGACAAACAGTGCGGTGTAAGGCAGGCGGCATTGCCCGGCAAAGTAGGAAAGAGACTTCACTCAGTTAAATCTAGGTTACAGATTTTGGCTCTTCCACTTAGTGGGTATAATCTTAAACACTTTTAAATCCTCTGACACTTTGCCATGCCACCCACAATGCACGAGGGCTACAGCTCCTCCATATCTTTGCCAGCACTTGTTACTTTCTGTGCACGGAGTGGTAGTCATTATGGCCTAATTTCTATTTCTCTAATGAGTAGTGATGTTGAGCATCTGTCATAGAATGATCCCTGGTGGCACAGTGGGTTACAAGTTGGACTGCTTATCCGAAGGTCAGCAGTTCAAAACCACCAACTGTTTCTCAGAAGGAAGAGGCAGCAGCAGGCTTCCATAAAGCCTTGGAAACCCACAAAGGCAGTTCTCGGCTGACCGTTAGTAGGAATATGGAACAGTCTGCTTCTGGGAAGATTACAGCCTTGGAAAACCTAAGGGGCAATTCTATTTGGTTCTATAGGGTCCCTATGAGTGAGCAGTGACTATGGCAACAGGTCCCCCCACCCCATTTTAAGGTATTCATTAACATGAATATCATTACTATCTTTTTATATATTATTATTACTCAGGGAACTATCACAATAGTCTAAATTTTCTGCTTTAAGCCATGACCCACCTGACATACATCAGCAATGATGTCCCTCTTGCCAAATCCTCTTTTTAATTCAGCTTGAATTTCTGGCAGCTCCCTGTATTTGTCACCATTTTTAAATGACCTTTAGCAAAATTTTACTTTTGTGTGATAATAATGATATTGTTCAATAATTTCCACATGCTGTTGGGTCACCTTTTTTGGGAATGGGCACAAATATGGATCTCTTCCAAGCCAATGGCCAGGTAACAGTCTTCCAAAGTTCTTGACACAGACAAGTGAGTGTTCCCAGTGCTTTATCAGCTTGTAGAAACATTTCCATTGGTATTAGTGATGATTACAGTCTATGTCAACTAGACATGCCTGGGGGAAGGTAGGCGTGGAGCTCAACCTATCAATCAGGTTGCAGCCTGATGACACATCCTTGGGGTGTGTCCTTTTGTGTAAGAGAGAGATGCGAAGCAGAGTCAGTTCTTGTTGGCCTTTTGCTTTCTACGTGAGCTGGATGCTGCATCTGGTTCATGGATGTCTCTCTTGCTGTGTCACCTGGTGATCCCAGGAGCTGTCAGCAGACTATCGACAATGGATTCATTCTGCTGACCCTGGATTCCCTTACCTCTGCCTCCACCGGCCTATGCACTCCCACCCCTGCGTCGCATTGTTCATTAACTTCCAAAGCGACATGAGTCAGGAGAAGCCTGATTCGAACCAGAGTAGACGTATCTACTTCGACAATATGGAAGCTGTTTCCCAACACAAACCTCCTTCTACATGCAAACATATGGCACTGGTTTTACTCCTCTAGCGAATCCACCCCAACACAGTATTCCATAGGTTCCCGGGGCCGTTTTTCACTAATGACGTCAGTGAAGCTTGGACCTCTTCTTTCAAATACCACTGGTTCTTTATCAAATGCTAGCTCTTGAAATGGTTGCCATCAGCATTTCCAAAACACGTATAAAAGTCTTAGCATATGATCTCCAACTTCATTTCCATTACTGTGGTAGTTAGATGAATTCACGTCAACTTGAATTTGTATGACAGTGTCGGGATCGAGTCCAGCATGTCAATCAAGCCACAGCCTGATGATGCCTCTTTGGGGCTGTAGCCTTATTAGGGAAACTTTGATCTCTCTCTCTCTCTTTCTCTCAGGGTTGTCCGACCCTGAGAGCTGTCAGCACCCTGCCGTGTTTCCAACAACCCTGTATTCACATAACTCTGCACTCACCAGCCAGTGCTCTTCCTGAATCCTGTTTCACCTATCGGTGTCATCAGCTGCAGCTACATGAGTCTGAGGAGGCCCCCACTTGCGCCAGACTTGTGGACTTGAGTTGGACTGGGCTGGTTTTCGGAAGCTACTCCCTCCGACGTAGACACTTCATAGACACGATTCCGTCTTAGTAGTCTGGTCTGAACCTGGAAGTTCCTCTGGAACTTGTTCACAGCGGCTTCAAATACCCTGCTGGTATTTGAATTCCGGTGGTCTAGCTTCCAGCATCACAGCAATACCAAGTCGCCAGAGTACAACAAACTGACGAGTGATGGTCTCCTGTCACTCATCTATACCTAAGGCATCTTTCATCTTTTGCTCAAGGTGATCTTTACCCTTCAATACCCACAGCTACCATAACGGTTTAAGCACTCATGATATTACCCAAATATTTCCAAGGCCTCCTACGCTACTTGTGCCTACTTATGTATCTCTCCAACCTATCAGGTTTATTGCCACTCAACTTTCTAAATTGTTTAATTTAAAATTTTTTCATGAATTTTCAGAGATACCTCACTATTTTAGTACAAAGTTGAAGCTCTTTCTAATGACATGGAATGAATCACAGTGCTAGGGGCCGAGTGGCACAGTAGGTGAAGCACTGGACTGCTATCCCCCAAATCAGCAGTTTGAACCCACCAGCTGCTTTGTGAGACAAAGATGTGGCAGTCTGCTTCCATAAGGATTTATAGCTTCAGAAACCCTATAGAGCAGGGGTTCTCAACCTGTGGGTCGCGACCCCTTGGGGGGGTGGGTATCAAACAACTCTTTCACAAGGGTTGCCCGATTCATAACAGTAGCAAAATGACAGCGATGAAGTAGCAAAGAAAATAATGTTATGGTTGGCAGGTCACCACCACATGAGGAACTGCATGAAAGGGCCGCAGCCTGAGGAAGGTTGAGACCGCTGCTACAGAGCAATCCTACTCTATCCTATAACGGCGCTCTGAGCAGACATTGACTCAAGGGCAGTAGGTTTTGGTTTTTCGTTTAGTCGGAGTTCTGGATAGAAATAACAGAAATCACACGCCTGAATAGGCGCACACACACACACACACACGTCAACATAGGAAATTTTTAAGAAACACCTCGGAACAGAAAATCATCTCCCCCTAACCAATCGCCATCAACAAAGTACCCAGTTTATCAAAAGCAATATCAAGATAATATATTGTCTTACCAGCGCCTGGCTAACATTTCCTCCAGTGGCTAATGACTTGAAGTGGCTGCTGTTGTAGACCAACTGAACTTCGGAGATTTCCACCGTTTCCAGCTCCTCTTGAGTTTGGCGATCAATCACATGCAACTTCTCTACACTGTCCAAGAGCACCACTGTGCGTGAGTTTATCCACTGTGATTCAAGCACATGACAGCGCAAACGTGAGGCCCAACCCACATGGCATTCCAGTAAAGGACACTGAGACCTGACACAGTTAATAGCTTGGAAGGCAACCCAATCACAGGAAGAACCATTCACTAAGAGCATAGAGAGTAGTAGGTGCACAGCATGCCACTGAGTAGTGTCAAAACAACAATTTAATAGTGTAAAAGAAGGTTAACCAGGATCTTTAATAGTGAGTAGAAATAGCAAGATTGTGGACACAAGGTGAAAAACGTGACCTGTTATGGAACTGAACGTGTAGAAATTGTTGAATGGATACATGTTTACCTCTGGATATTTTCACCAAAAAGAAAATATTTTTTAAATGTATCTGTAATAGACTTTTACAGGACATATTGGTTCATATTTAAAAAAATTTTTAAGGTGTACTGGCATGAACAACTGAAGCAAGTTAATACACTTTGCAATTCTAGTTTCTCTGACCATCAATGAAACAAAAGGATAAATTATACCTCATAAACCTAGCTGGTCAAAGAGTGATTGTTAACATACAGGCAGTATATATGCTCAGGTAGAAGCTACTTTAAAAATCTATTTCTTTCAAAACCTCCCTAAAAATTATGTGAAATTCTTTTGTTCTTTCTTATTTTTCTGTTTCTTTCAAAAAGTTTTAATAAATACTATTACAAATTACAATAAAATAACTCATTCAAGAATAATTTTAAAATCTTCTGAAGCATGTAATTTTGACAATTTCATAGATTAAGTATAAAATAAGATTTCTAATTTTCAAAGTCCTTTTAAAAAAATCCTCAACCCCTCTCCATGAAAACTAAAGTCTTACAATTTGCTCAATTAGAACTCTAAATTGACTGGACCCAAGCGATTCTCCTGTACTGTATCTCTCTGGGAACCTAAAAGCCATTTTATTTTTGTGACCTATTGTCATCACAGATCAACTGCATGACATACTATAGCAAGACAATCAAACTTATAATGGATCAATATTCTTTTAACATGTGCTTAAAATACACTGTACATTGTATAATGGTCACACAAAGAATACTTGCTTCTTTGTGCCCGCCACCCACCCCCTGCCGCTTATTTTCCTCAGAAAACAGGGAGTTTGATACCCTATATCTTTATGAGGCACTCTTACAGGGTCCTCTGTTAATTATTTTATTTTGAAAAGTAAGTTATCATTTAATAAAGACATTCTTAGGTTTATAAAGCCTTTCTCCATGTCAGTGCTCCAGAGGTCAGTAGGTACAGAGAGAGAGAGAGAACATAAAAGGAAGGTCAATCAGGACTCCTGAAGTGGTGGCTACTGTGTGCGTGGTGGTGGGCACTAGTGGTGGCCCATGTGTGCAGGGTGGCGGTGCTCCACGGGGTTTTCCAACTGTTCCCTTGCAGAACCAAATGGTCCATTCTGTTCTGAGGTGCTTCTGGGTGGGTTCAAACTACCTACCTTTCAGCTAGTGGTCAACCAGTTTGTCCCACACAGAGTTAGACTTTCACACTTTCTGGTGTGAGCAGAATCTCAACAAGCCTCCTAAAGACCCATTTACTAAGCACAGTTAGTGGTCCCAGTGTGGACAGGCCACAGAACAAGTGAGAGCACCAAATGTTTTCTTCCAAATGGCTACTTGTAGCTGAGAAAAAAAAATTCCAGTGGGAGAAATTGATGCAGGTGATTTAAATGTAGCTCAATAATTTTAAACAGAAAGTATGATAATTCTAGAAAACTGTGTTAGATGACTCCACAAGGGTTTTAGTAGTGAAAAGACACTGGTGTCTCATATGCATGGGAGGAGTTTAAATATACTTAGCTCATGAAATGTGTATGGAAAAACTATTACTTAAACCAGTAGCCTAAGTGTGAATTTAAAATGCAACATACAACTAAATGTACAAGTCATATAACATAAAATAAAAGACCGAGTGTTTCGGCTCTAGCCTTAAAGCGTAAACATGGGGATGGGGGGATAGGGTGAGGGTGTCTTACACTGAAGAATGCCCACTCATGGCAATACGGAGTCCAGGCAGTGCAATAGTTAAGCAGTCAACTGCTAACCAAAAGGCAGGTGGTTTAAACCTAATGGTGGCTCTGGGGAGGAAGAAACCTGGGTAAGTGCTCCTGTAGAGAATTATAGCTTTGGAAATACAATGGGGCAGATATACCACGTCCTATAGGGCTGTTATGAGTGAGAATTGACTTAGTGGCAAAGGCTTTTATAGTCAATGAAGATACAGCATGCTTTACAAGCTGCCAGAAAGCAATAACAACAGAAATTCAGAAATATTTTGGTGTACTGGGTGACATGTTGAGCTGATAAACTACAAGGTCAGCAGTTCCAAACCACCAGCTGCTCTACGGGCAAAAAATGAGGCTTTCTATTCCCTTAAAGAGTTACAGTCTTGGAAATCCACAGGGGCAGTTCTACCCTATCCTATAGGGTTGCTACCAGACAGAATTGATTCAAAGGCAGTGAGGTTTTTATTATCCTCAAAGTAGGGCACTATTTAAAAATGAAAAAAACTTTTTTTACTACCTAAGGAAATCCTCTCTTTCATTAAAGCAAATTATTCAGAATTTGTGGTAGTTATATAATCATTTGTCAATTTGAGAGGATTACGTGTGAAGGGGTGATGTCTAGCCTGTCGATCACTGTATAGCCAATGAGGCCTCGGTGTGGGCATGACCTCTCCTGAGGATTCTGGGGATTCCTGAAAAATCCTCCTTGGCAGCGGGAGACATTCTCTCTCTCTCCTGACTCCCTGAGAGACATTTCTGAGGAGAAGCCACATGAAGCTACTCTGAGGCAGTCAGTTTCAGAGCTGGAGGAACTCCATGGAGATCCCAGCCAGCGCTAAGATGGTACAACACCACTGAATCCAGAAGACTTTCCACCCACTGCCTGTGATCTTCCTGCATTTGGTCTCATTGCATGTGTTGCGTGAGTCTGAAGAGGACCTTATAGATTAGTATCAGACATATAGGCTAATATTGGACTTATGGACTTGATCTGGACTGGGCTGTTTTCTCAATATTCAATTGTTCTTGTATATAAAGCTCTTTTTTATACACATATGAGTGTCCATGAGTTTGTTTCTCTAGTCCACCCAGACTAACACAGGATTCATATGCATGATAAAGAAAATACTGTCTACAAAGGTTTTAGTAACAAGTGAAGAACAGTTTGCATAAGCTCCTGAACCACTGAGGACAAAGTTAGAAATTAAAAAATTAAAAAGGTATGGGGGAGGTGGGGGACAAGGGAAAGACCCTAAAGAGAGCCACAGGGATGCTTCTGAGCCCCAACACCCCTTTGATTTAACCAGAACACTGAGGAAAACGCGGCTTGTCTTGCCGCTGATCAGCAGGAAAAGCATTATGTGGCATCACACCAAACTTGGACTGCATTCGATGCAAGCAGGACATCACTTCTGTTCATATAAGTTAAGACCCTCAGTGGCATGGCTCATAGCAGAAATCCAGTTTGCCTTTTTAAAAAAAATCATTTTATTGGGGCTCTTACAGCTCTTATCACAATCCATACATCCATCCATTGTGTCAAGTACATTTGTACATTTGTTGCCATCATCGTTTTCAAAACATTTTCTTTCTACTTGAGCCCTTGGTATCAGCTCATTTCCCTCCTCCCCACCACCCTCCCTCATGAACTCTGGATAATTTGTAAAAATTTTTTTCATGTGTTACACTGACCACTGTCTCCCTTCACCACTTTTCTGTTGTTTATCTCCCTGGGGGCGGGGGTATTATATGTTGATCATTGTGATCGGTTCCCCCTTTCTCCTCCCACCTTCCTCTTCCCCTCTTGGTATCACTAGTCTCATTATTGTTCCTGAGGGGTTTATCTGTCCTGGATTCCCTGTGTTTCCACTTCTTATCTGTACCAGTGTACATTCCTGGTCTAGCTGGATTTGTAAGGTAGAATTGGGGTCATGATAATGGGGGGAAGCATTAAAGAATTAGAAGAAAGTTGTATGTTTCATTGGTGCTATACTGTACCCTGACTGGCTCATCTCTTCCTTGTGACCCTTCTGTAAGGAGATGTCCAATTGTCTACAGATGGACTTTGGGTCTCCACTCCGCACTCCCCCTTATTCACATCAATATGGGTTTTTTTGGTTCTGGGTCTTTGATGCCTGATACCTGATCCCATCGACACCACATGAACACACAAGCTGGTGTGCTTCTTCCATGTGGGCTTGCTGCTTCTCTATTAGATGGCCACTTGTTTAATTTCAAGCCTTTAAGACCCCAGATGCTATATCTTTTGATAGCCAGGTATCATCATCTTTCTTCACCACATTTGCTTATGCACTCACTTTGTCTTCGGCATTCGTGTCGGGAAAGGGAGCATCACAGAATGCCAGGTTATTAGAACAAAGTATTTTTGTGTTGAGGGAGTATTTGAGTGGAGGCCCAATGTCCACCTGCTACCTTAATGCTTAAATATAAATATATGTACATAGATCTATTTCCATATCGTTATATATATTTACATATGTACATGCCTGATTTTAGACCTCTATAAATGCCCTTTGCCTTCTAGTTCTTCACTCCATTTCCTTTGACTTTCCTCTTGTCCCACTATCATGATCGACCTTCATTCAGCTTTCATTGATGCCTCTTGACCACATTGCACTTGATCAAGCCCCACCAGGCATCCTATGCCCGCCTCACCACATACAGGGATAGAATGGAATAAATGACGAGCTTTCCTCTGAATGGTACTCACGGTGAAGTTGATAAGGTCATAGTACAGGTGAAGATGCTTTTGCTTAGTAACATGTATCGCTCCTGATTCATCCCGCTTTACCTTGATGACGAGAGAAAATAAACCAAAAACAATCAAAACGGAGAGACTTGTAAATACTTAATTATCCTCTACTTATAACATGAGTCCCACCAAAAGTGTGCATATGCCAGAAATACTCATAACTGAAGAAAAGATGACACAATTAAAAAAAATCAGTCACACCATAATTTGTACCCAAATCCAAAGCACTGGTTGGCAGTTGTGATAGTTAGGTTTATTGTGTCAGCGAGGCCAAGAGGCACATGTGGGCGGAGTTTGGTCAGGTGGCAGCTTGATTGGAGGATGACCGAAAGAAATAAGATGCTGGCATCCCGCTCTGACTCGAAGGGAACGGTTCCCCTGCCTCCTTTCCTTTTCCTTTCTCTGCTTGACTGTACTCCGTGGTATGCGCTGGCCTTTGATTTTCACAGCCACGCCCCCTTTTAGATCTCGGAGTTCTTATTCTCTCCGGATACAAGTCTCGATAAAATACTTGAAACCCCATCTTCACTTCCAAGTCAACACCGAGTCTTTCACGAACACTTTCTACCCAACCTTCCCTTCAAACATCTAAGATACAAACAGCTGAAAACATGGTGCTTCTCCCATTCCTTTTGGTTCCTAGATTAAATAGGACAGCCTGTCCTTCCTTCAAAATGCCATCCCTTCTCAACTCTCCTTCAACAACACAATCAGTCCTGCCGAAACACCTCACACATGCTTTTCCACCAGAGCGGAAAACACCTCTCACCTGCTTCCATGTCCCCCTCCGAGCCGTGACTTCTGGCACTTCTAGACTGATCTTAAGGAGCCCTGGTGACATAATGGTTTCACCAAGTGGTTACTGCAAGGTCTTAAGTTTGAAACCACCAGCCACTCCTCAGGGGAAAGACAGGGCTTTCTACTCCCATGAAGAGTACCCTGGCTTACAGGGCCACTTTGAATTGATGTTGACTCAATGGCAGTTTAGTTTTTTGGTTTTTATATTCATCGTCCTAAAATATCACTCTGAACACACCTTTGATGACACGAGAACCCATTACCAAGAGAAGCCAATCCTTTTGGAATTTTGCCATATAGTGTTTATTTATAAAAACAGGCCCATTTGGGGTCTGAGTTATATTTTAGCAGCCTCTGCCCTAGATCTACCCATATATTTCACTTTGTCTCTCACCTTCGGTTCCCCCAGCTAGTCGTCAAGGAACCCTTATTAAGCATCCACAGGCACACGCCAGCGCAGGTCCCTGCATTTATGGAACTCCCCGTCTTGTGAGGAAGAATCCTGCTGGACAAGGCATTTCTAAAGCGCTGGATGCTATCAAAGGAAAAGCTCTCGCTGGTCAATGCGCAGGAGACCCCAACGGAGCTGAGGAAGTCAGGGAAGGCCGGGTGCAGCGTAAACTAGGAAAGAGCGGACGGCAACTCTGGAAGAGGCAGGGCCACATGCAAAGGCACTGAGAGAGGCCAGACCCACCAGGAGGCCACTGCAGAGTCTAGGCTGGAAATGTACAGGTTTAGACTAGGGAAGCAGCAATGGGGAGAGGAAGGGGCCTGGGGGAGAAAAGGGGGTCAAGTTCAATAGATTTGGGAGGTAGAGTCAACAGGACTTGGTGGCAGAGTTGATCAATGGAGAACGAGAATCCAAAGGCTACCTGCAGTTTCTGACTGGAGAAAGGAGATAAACTGAAACACACTGCTGTCGAGGCCATGCTGACTCACAGGGACCCTACAGGACCGGGTAGTACTGCCCTGTGGGTTTCCGAGACTGCACCTCTTCAGCAGTAGAGAACCTCATCTGCTTCCCTTGGAGTGACTGGTGGTTTCGAACTGTTGACCTTGCAGTTAGCAGCCCACTATGCCACTACATAAGCACTATGCCACCAGCGCTCCTGAGAAAGGAGACAGGCAGTGACATACTCTCTTCAGTGAACTAGGAAACTTGAGAAGAGGCTACACAGGTCCATTCTTCCCTCTAGAGCTTCAGTTAGCATTATTTCCCCAGGGTGGGCACCGAGCACCACCGCCCCCTTGCCCCCTGCAGTATTTGCCGTATGTCCTTCATAACATCTTCCAGAACCACTGCAGTCCATATGAATGGCTCTATGCGCTGAACTTACATCAACTTTCTATCCTTACCACACAGTCCATCCTTTGATTATTCTCTCTAGTGGTGATGAAAGGACCGCTCTTACCTGTCGGGAAATACTATAATCTAAGCAGTGTAAAGAAGAAACTGCTGTCCACTCCCTCCAAGGGCTTCTATTTGTGTGTCTAGTACAGAATAAAGATACCGAGAGGGGTGAGGGGGCTCAAGAAGACTTGGTCTCCAATAGACATGAGTCTGTATGCATTCACACGGCAATGCACACAGTCATATGCTCATGCAGACACACTGCTGCTGCTGTGATTTGCCATGGAATCGACTCTGACCCGCATCCATACATCCACCAGTAATTTCTTAGTCAAAGGAGTTGGGGCTAGGAAATAAACCATGAAGGGGCATGTTAACCATGGCAGCTTTAAACAAAAATTACCCACCTTCTCCTCAGCATGTGGGTAGAAGTTCTCTTGGACATAATAATTCATTACTGCTAAACGAGGGTGGCGGGGGAGGTGACAGAGAGCCAGCTTACCAGCAGGAAGTGAACCACATCGCCTCTGCAGAAGGCAAGCATGGGGTTCACAGAGTTGTGGACTGCCACGAAGTGCCAGGCCAGCAAGGGAACGCTCGAAGGGTCCATCTAAGAGAGAGGAAGGCAACGGCAAACACGAAGTCAGCACAGGTACCAGACAGAGGGGCAGAGAGTAAATGCTGGTTAGAAACAGCATCTGGCGAGTGCTGCTAGGCACGTCTCTCCCTGTTTCACTGAGATTCCATCGAAGCTGGGATTCACTGGAGGATTCTCATAGAGAACTTTCCAGGTTGGTGGCAGTGTTCTATATTTGCATACGACTTTTAGGTTACAATTTCAGAAAATGTACACTCAAGATTTGTGCTTTTCGTTGTCCATAAATTCAAAACCTAAAATACTGAACTCCACTAGTGGCAAGTATGCTAAATACCTAAGGGAAAGAATGGTGGGTCCAGTACTTTATTATGAAATACATTTTTATAAGTAAATCATTTGATGGATGGATACAGAAATGGATAAATGAATAGACACCCAATCCTCACTTATCCAGCACTTGTCTCTCAGTTGGTCCTAACAGGTTGGCTTGTGAGTTGCTGTGATGCTGGAAGCTATGTCACTGGTATTTCAAATGCCATCAGGGTCACCCAACGTGAGCAGGTTTCACTGGCGCTTGCAGACTAAAAACAGTCAATGAAGAAGGGCTCATCCCCACTACAGAGGAAAGAGCCACAGAAACCCTGATGGCTAGGGACTCGTGAGTGGAAGCAGAATTGTTGGAGACAGTACTGGGAGATGGACCCCTTGGGTTGAAAGGACACTCAGAATGTGACTGAGAAGGAGCCAATTTCTCAGAGTGGAGCCACCACGGTGATATGAGTCAAGTAAAGCCTGTGCAAGGGGAGCCTTTGGGATTTTCATTTGTTGATGGGGAATGACTTGCGTTAAGGAGAAACAACTGCAAAAATCTGCTCATGAACAGAACTTGGAATGGCAAAGTATGAATCTAGGAAAATGGGAAGTCATCAAAAATGAAAATGATTGATATCCTATGCATTAGTGAACTGAAATGGACTAAGACTAGCCATTTTGAATCAGAAAATTCTATGATTTACTATGCACAATCAAGAGAAATAGTGTGGCATTCACTGTTGAAAAGGACATTGCAAAATCAATCATAAAGTACAATGGTGTTTGTGACACGATTTTATATATATATCTGCCTTCAAGGAAATCCAATCAATACAAGTATTATTGAAATTTATGCACCAATCACAAAGCTAGTGATGAAGAAATTTGAAGAACTGTAGCAATGACTTCAGTTGTAAATTGATCAGGCATTCGATCAAGATTCATTGATGATTATCGGTGACTGGAATGCAGAAAGGAAGGTATAGAAGTGGGAATAGGGACTTGGTGATAGATATTAAGCTTGAAAGCACATTATAGAATTTACAAAACTAACAATGTGTTCAAGGCAACTACCTTTGTTCAATAACACAAAAGGCGACAATACACGTGGACTTCTCCAGATGGAATGCACAGAAACCACATTGACTATGAAGAGACGATGAAGCAGCTCACGTGGACTTCTCCATATGGAATATACAGAAACCACATTGACTACATCCGTGGGCAGAGATGATGAAGCAGCTCATGTGGACTTCTCCAGATGGAATATACAGAAACCACA